GCCCAGCTGCTGAGTGCCCTCATCCATTTCGCAGTCGAACCCTGCGAGCGTCCAGTCACTCACCAGTCGCGCTCCGGAGCTGGCCGAGTCACGCTCGACATTTCTGCTCTTCAACCATCACACGATCGAATGCGGACTCGAGCGCAGACTCTGTTCCATCCTCCTCATCCATGCACAAACCCAACTACATAACAACGCCTATTTTTTACGTCAATGCTTCGCCTCACATTGGCCATCTGCATAGCATGATCCTAGCCGATGTGTGCGCTCGCTGGGCCGCATACAAAAGGGGGGATGTGCATGCTGGAGGTCTTGAGGTGCTCGACCCTGCAGATCAGAGCGGGACGGGTGGGGCAGTAGCGGGAGAGAACAGAGCAGAAGGGACGAAATCAAATGTGCTCTTGGCCACTGGGACGGATGAGCATGGTCAGAAGGTGCAGCGCGCGGCTTCGCAGGGAGGTGAGCATCCCAAGCAGATGTGCGATCGAGTTAGTGAGACCTTCAGAGTGAGTCCATCCGCGATTGCCAAGAAGGACTGCTTGTTGGGATCAAAAGAAAGAGATGCAGCTGAAGGCAGCCCTGGGCACAGGGAGGGGCGCTGGGCTCTGATCGGTTTTGGCTCGGCTCACATGACGTGCCATGCTACCTTTTCCGGGCGAAATCAGTCACTGGCGTCTGCTGCTGGTCTGATGCAACACACCTTCATCCGCACGACTGATGAAAAGCATGTCAAGGCTGTGCAGCATCTATGGGTGAGTAACCCGAGAGGTTTGAAAGTGTATGCGCTTGCTCTTCTCATCCAACGTGCACCTGTTGGTCGACATGGTCATAGCGTCGATTAGATGCCGCAGGTCACATCTACAAGGGCTCACATCAAGGTTGGTACGCCATCTCGGACGAGGCCTTCTACACCGATTCTCAGATTCGTAGAGTGCGGTCAGGGTCCGGAGAAGAGTATCACGAGTCCATCGAGACGGGTCAGCGCGTGGAATGGCATTTGGAACTCAACTACAAATTCAGACTCTCCACTTTCAAAGAGCCATTAATACGATGGATCGAAGAGAATCCGCAGTGCATATTGCCTAGCGCTCGAAGGGATCAAGTCCTGAAGGAGCTCAAGGAAGTGGACTTGGAAGATCTCAGCGTGTCTAGACCCAGGAACAGGCTGGAATGGGGCATACAGGTACCAGACGATCCGGAACACACAATATATGTGTGGATCGACGCCCTCACGAACTACCTCACGGTTGCCGGCTACCCGTGGGAAGATGGGAGCGTCCCGACCAGCAGTGCCTGGCCCGCAGACGCTCACATTCTTGGCAAAGATATCATCCGGTATGTGCCTATTGCCCACTCTTCGACCGCTTCCCTGAGCCAGCGCGCCTGAGCACCACCATTGACCTTTTCGCCAGTACCTTACCCACGTACTCACCAACAGCTTCCACGCAATCTATTGGCCCGCTATGCTCCTAGCGGCCTCGCTTCCACTCCCCGAGAAGATCGTGACCCATGGACACTGGACCTCTTCCAACAAAAAGATGTCAAAGAGCTTGGGAAACGTCCAAGATCCTTTCGAGAGCTTGAAACTGTTCGGACAGGACGAGATTAGGTGGTTCTTGTTGAGGATCGGAGGTAGATTGGATGGCGATTCGGGTGAGTTTGGCAGTGACGCAACGCAGCGGCATGTATGGCACTTCGCTGCCCGAGCCTTGGAAAGGTACGCCTGCTAAGCGCTCGCAACCATTTGCACCACAGACTGGTCCCCTGGCAAGCCCGAAGAATACATTCGAAAGTTCTTGGCGGGTCAAATTGGGAAC